TGGCCCCTCGGTCCCGTGGGCGGAGGCACGGAGGTGGCCCACCCTCCCCCCTTGGCCCACCCGCCCTTGCTGTGTTTGTTGCTTTTGTAAGAGTGTTAAATTATGGAAGCCCTTTGGGGTCCTCCCTGTCCCCCAGGACCTCTTATTTATACTAAAGTACCCTGTTTTCACAGCGTCTGTTCCCTTCTGAGGAGGTGGGGAAGATGTGTGTGTGTGGTTTGTCTGTAGTCCTAGAATCAATCCACTTTGTCTCAAGGAACAGCCAGGCCCTGCCTCCCCCCAGTGCCCTCTTGATGGCAGGAAACACTGAAGGCCAGAGGAGGGGCACACAGGAAGCACACAGCTGGTGGATCTGCCGCTGCCCAGCCCCGGACAGGCCCTTCAGTTGAAAAAGATCATCCCTTGCCCCACAAACTTTCAAGGAAGAGAGCCACCAGGGCCCCCTCAGTAGGAGTTTTAAAAAGTTTTAACGTGTCCAAGTCAGATACTGAAGGAGCCTACCCCAGACAGCTCCGGAGGTGCCCAGAGCCAGCTCCCTTGAGTGCACGGCCGGCACAGGCCTCCAGGGCCAGCTAGAGACCATGGTTTCCTTTGGGAGAACCATCCACCCGGGAAAGAACAACGAAAATCCCTCTTGGCTGGCTCTCTGGAGCCGCAGGGAGTGGTGTCTTCCCACTCCGCCCTCCACCCCCCGAAATGTTTCTGTTTCTAATCCTAGCCTGGGCAGGAATGTGGCTAAGCGGCCAGGGTCCAAGGAGCTATTTTGGGGGCTCCTTTGCCTCCCCCAGGCTTTGGCCAGTGGATCACCTCTGGTCCTGGCTCTTGAGGGCCTCCCTTCCCGATTGTCTCATCACCCCTTCCCCACCTCCTGCCAAAAAAAAAAAAAAAAGTAAAGCAGAGGGCCTGAGGGCTAAATTTAAACTGTCCCAAAGTCTGAATCCTTGGCTGAGTCACCCGCAAAGCTGCCCTGGCCTCCGGCCCCCCCCTTCCCGAGCCTCACCCCTTTTTCTCCCCTCCCCACTCCAGAGCTTGGGAGGGGTGTTACCAGATCGCTATGAATCTCAATTGGTCCCCTCTGGGGAATGGGAGGGCATCTTTGGCATCTGTCACACCTGTAGCTTCCTCTGTGCTCCGCCTTCTCAGTCGGGGGGGGTGTAGTTCGAGAGTTGAGATTCTCCACCTCTCCCCCCCCATCTCTCACTGAAGCATTCCGAGGGGCCTTGGAAGGAGGGAGTTGGGGGGGTGTGCCTGGCCAGTGAGGGGTTAAGGCTGGGAGCTGGAGGGGGCTGGACCGAGGGGTGGGGAGAAGGGGAGGAGGCCTTAGCAGCCAGCAGAGAGAAGTGGCCAGAGAGGCCCAGGGGACAGCCAGAGACAGGCAGGCATGCAGTCAGGGCCCCAGGGCCTGGACAGGGCCTTCCAGGCCCTGTGACAGGAGGACCCCGAGCCCCTGGCCCGGGGAGGGGGCCATGGTGCTGCCTGCCCAACATGTCAGCCGAGGTGCGGCTGAGGCGGCTCCAGCAGCTGGTGCTGGACCCTGGCTTCCTGGGGCTGGAGCCCCTGCTCGACCTTCTCCTGGGCGTCCACCAGGAGCTGGATGCCTCCGACCTGGCCCAGGACAAGTATGTGGCCGACTTCTTGCAGTGGGGTGAGTGACTACCTACCTGCATGGGTCCCCTCAGATTTGAGGGTGGGTGCAGGGCAGAGGGAGGAGGTGGGGCTGGTGATTGGGGGCAGGATTGGGCATGGGGAGAGCCTCCCATTCAGGGGGCCCGAATTTGGACCTGGGTCTTGGGGCGATGTGTTCCTACCGCTTTGCCACCCGGGCAGGGTAGAGTGGGGTCAGCAGAGGCCAGGGCAGCCATGATTGGGAACCACAGTAAGCTGGGCTGGGCACAGCCTCTCGTGGTCCCCCTCCACTCCCTTCCTGAGTCTAGACCTAGGAACATGCTGGGGACCCCTGTCTTCTAGGACAGCGCCCACCCAAACGGGTCCTATGGCTCTCCACTGCTCTCAGTTTCCCAGAGCAGAGGGGCAAACAGAAGGGACAGCATGGGGCAGCTGCCAGGGGCGCGGCTGATGGGCAGGTGTTCGGCGCCAGCCTCTCCAGCTGCCCCAACAGGTGCCCAGGCACTGGGAGGGCGCAGTGACTCAGGCAGGGCTTGGGGGAGAACCAGCTCTGCAGGCAGGCACCACCCACCACCCCGTCCACCCCCTGGCTGGAGGTGGAACAATTTAGGGTTTTTCTGTGTGTGCCCACTTTCTCTGTAGGTTCCGTGTGCCCCCATCCACCCAAAATCCCTTCTGGTCAAGTCTTCCTCTGGAGACAAGTCCAGAGGGAAGATGTTTCAGCTTCAGCCTCCTACTTTCTCTACCCTCCTCCCCTCCCCTGCCCAGGACTGAGGCTTACTCAGGCTTCTTCTCTCTATAACATCTGCTACCCTGTCCCTCCACTGGTCTGTCCCTCAGCGGCTTGCTCTTAGTCCCGGGGCTCTGTGTGTCCCTGTCCCCATCCCTGTTTCCTGTCTGTCCGCCTTCTCCCACTCCCTTTTTTCTTGTGTCCATCTCTTTCTGCCCCAGGCCCTGCTCTTCTCCCTCTTCCCATTTTGCAGATGTGAAGGTGGAGGCCAAGGGCTAGACCACTTGGCCTCTAGAAGAACCTTCTCCCCACATCCCCCCAGCTATTAGTAACTCTCTCAGCCCCCCTTTTGCAGAGGATGGAGTTGGGTTGGCAGGATAAACTGAGACCTGAGGCCGGGGCGGGAGCCTAGCGCTCCCGTAAGGAGCACTCCTTTTGTGGCCCGAGCAGCATCCTGGGGCCCCTCCCCTGTCCTGCTGCGGGGTGGGGGAGGGGGCCTGGGTTCCTGCTGCCTTAAAAGGGCTCAATGTCTTGGCTCTCTCCTCCCTCCCCATCCTGGGCCCTGGCTGCTGCTTCCCTGCAGGCCCTGTCTCCCCAAACCATGAACCCCCTCTATAACCCACTATATCATCCCTTGTTCTTAATTGCATCCATCACTCTCTCCCTCCTGCCTCTGAGGCTCCCAGCTTCCACCCCTGGGAGTCCAGACCTCCCTCTTCCCCACCCCTGAGTCTCTTGCCTCTACCCCCTGCTGTCCCCCTCCCAAACTGCCCTCTGTAACACTGCTAGCCGTAGGACATTGGGCAGAGGGCTTCACCTGTCTGAGCCTTGGTTCCCCATCTGTAGATAAGGGGTAGTAATAAAGCCTCTTCCTGGAGTTGAGAGCCCAGAAATAGCACACTTGACAGGGCCTGCAGCACTGGAGCCATGATGTGGGTCCTGGCTGTTTTTGTCTCCCTCTGCCTTTCCTTGCCTGGGCCCCAGCTCCAAACTCGGGGTTCCCCAGTGTGGTCCAGGAGACACCTGCATCTGAACCTCGAGGTGCTGGATTAAACTGCAGGCTCTGGGCCATAACCCAAGACAGACTGAATGACAGCCCTGGGGGTGGGCCAGGTAGCCTACTTACACCATCAACCCAAGTGGGAGTAGGGGCCTGAAGCCCAGGGAGCTCTAAGAACAGGGCCTTTTTCCTTCTCTGTTTTTTTTTTTTTAAATACTCCCCCCGCCCCCGCCTCCCTGTTCTTCAGGACCTCCCTTCGGCAGACTTGTTACCTTACCCTGTCCATCCTGCACCCCCTAGAGCCCTCTGGTCCAATGTCCTGTCCCAGAAAGGGGTTCCCAGGCCCTCCGTACCCACCTCTCTCCGTACGAGGGCAGTTTTGAGTCCCCCAGACCTCACACGTTTATGTGAAGACTTTAGGCAGACAGTCCCAAGGGGAGGGATAGGGACAAGGAAACTCAGGAACGAAGGGTGGGACTTGCTCTTGGTCTCCAGTGTTGGTCCCTGTGATTCTCGGTTCTCATCTCCCCCTGCCCTCAGTGGAGCCCATCGCGGCGAGGCTTAAGGAGGCCCGATTGCAGAGGGATGACTTTGAGATTCTGAAGGTGATCGGACGCGGGGCGTTCAGTGAGGTGAGCCTGGAGCAGCTCCTTGGTGCAGGAGAGAGAAGTTCGGGGCGGGGCCTTATAACTTGATGAATGACTGAGTTTAGAACGTAAGGAGGGGCTTAGGTCCAATAGGCGTGGTGTGCCGAGTAGGGGCGGGGCCACGCCTGGGCAGGGTTTGGGGTGGTGTCCAATCTGGGCGGGTCCTGGTGTTTCCTTGGCAACTCTACCCAATTACCGTTTCGGCCTTCAGGTAGCGGTGGTGAAGATGAAGCAGACAGGCCAGGTGTATGCCATGAAGATCATGAATAAGTGGGACATGCTGAAGAGAGGCGAGGTGAGGGCCGGGTTGGGTGTGCAGGGTGCTGAGGACCCCCACCCCCAATCCGCTCCAGCCCCTCATGGTGCCCCGCAGGTGTCGTGCTTCCGTGAAGAGAGGGATGTGTTGGTGAACGGGGACCAGCGCTGGATCACGCAGCTGCATTTCGCCTTCCAGGACGAGAACTACCTGGTGAGCCCCAGGCCGGACAACTAGAGGACTAACCCCACCACTGAGGCTGTCATTTATCGAGGTGGGGGTGGGGAGAGGAAGTTCTAAGATTGGAGAGCCGCCTCGAAATGCAGGGCTGAAACGCAATGCGTGCGGGAGTCTCTGTATGTTGTAGGAACTGGCCTTTTTCGAGATGGGAGATGTCCCTCACCACCCTTTTCCCAGGCTCATTCGGGGCACCACCTGGAATGAGACAGTCTCTTGAGTCTATGTGGGGGCCACTGGGCTCCATACTCTGGACATTGGGAGGTCTTCGGGTTCTGTTTTCCCCTGACTGTTTTGGGGGAAGTGAATCTCCGTCCAGTGTCATCCTGGGAGAATGAGGGTTTCCTTTTGGGGGGGGTGTCTCTGATTTGGCCTGGGAGATCTCTTGGGGCTGGAGCTGCAGGGTCTCTGCCCAGGGATGGGGCTTCTCTGGGAGTCTGTCCCGGGCTGTCAGCGATCGGCGCAGAGGCGGGGTACCGACCCCCCCATGACACGGCCCCTCCCAGTACCTGGTCATGGAGTACTATGTGGGCGGGGACCTGCTAACGCTGCTGAGCAAGTTTGGGGAGCGGATCCCGGCTGAGATGGCGCGCTTCTACCTGGCCGAGATTGTCATGGCCATAGACTCGGTGCACCGGCTGGGCTACGTGCACAGGTGGGCTCTGCAGGGGCTGAGGGGCGGGGCCCGATGGGCGGGAATTGGAGAGCTTGGACCTTAAGAGGGTGGGGCCTAGGGGGTGCTGCCTAGAGGGGTGGAGTCTTGTGAGATGGCCAGATAGAGGCTTACTTACCCCCTCCCCTTCCTCTTTCCCTCCTTGTAGGGACATCAAACCGGACAACATCCTCCTGGACCGCTGCGGCCACATCCGCTTGGCGGACTTTGGCTCCTGCCTCAAGTTGCGGGCTGATGGGACGGTGAGCCGCGCACCCGCCAATGAGGGATGGGGTCAGGAGCGGGAACGGGAGGCGCAGTGTGGGGGCAGGGCTGAGTCGTGCAGGCAGTTAGGGTGAGGGCAGGACTAGATTTGGAGGGGAAAGGAGGCGACCCTGTGGCTCAGGGTTAGAACAGGCAAAAGGAGGGTCTAAACTCTAGGGTCACGGTTAGGAGTGGGCGGAGCCAGAGCTAGAAGGGGCGGGGCCAAGCTCAGCTCTTGTCCTGTTGGCTCAGGTGCGGTCGCTGGTGGCTGTGGGCACCCCGGACTACCTGTCTCCTGAGATCCTGCAGGCCGTGGGTGGTGGGCCCGGGACTGACAGCTATGGGCCCGAGTGTGACTGGTGGGCGCTGGGCGTGTTCGCCTATGAAATGTTCTACGGGCAGACGCCCTTCTATGCTGACTCCACAGCCGAGACCTACGGCAAGATCGTGCACTACCAGGTGAGTACAGCCCGAGGAGCCCCTGATCTCCCTCCACACATGCTCCCAGGTAACATCCCCTTTTCCTCTCTCTCTGAGTAGGAGCACTTGTCTCTACCAATAGCGGTCGCAGGGGTCCCTGAGGAGGCTCGTGACCTCATCCAGCAGCTGCTGTGTCCCCCTGAGACTCGCCTGGGCCGGAATGGAGCAGGCGATTTCCAGAAGCATCCTTTCTTTTTTGGCCTCGACTGGGACAGCCTCCGAGAGAGCGTGCCCCCTTTTACACCAGATTTCGAGGGTGCCACTGACACATGTAACTTCGATGTGGTGGAAGACAGGCTCACTGCCATGGTGAGCGGGGGCGGGGTAGGTACCTGCGACCCCTGCTCTGCAGAGCATACCCCTCCAGCCCTCTGCCATAACACCAAGGTTAGGAGAGTGCCCTCCTCCCGGGGTCCTCAAGTCATTCCTTCCCTAGAGAACCTGCTTTGTGCTGGCCCAGTGCTGGGAACCCAGCCGTGACCTAGACTCACAGTCCAGTGGTGGGTGCAGGGGGCAGACCTCCTGATCCAGCATGAAAGGTACTAGAGGGCTTCCTGGAGGAAGGGGCTATCTGAGCTGAAATCTGGAAGGTTGAGAGGTGAGAAGCAGGAAAGCACCACAGAGGAATCTTACTGCCTTCAGCCATCTCAGCTGCTGGACAGGCTATCCTGTGCTCACTCAGCCTGGGGGCTTGTGCTGGGCCCTGCTGGGGACACACATGGACCAAGTCAGCCCTGGTCCCTGCCCTCATCTACTTACAGTCTGGACGATTATATAATTATCCTGTGGCGAGGGCCTTGAGGGAAACGGCAGGATGTAATAAAAGAAAATGAGTAGGGGCCACTTTAGATAGGGGGCACTTAAACCAAGGCTGGGAAAGGCTGGGGGGCCAGCCCCGACAGCTGCTGGTCACCTCATACCGGTCTTCCTTTTGGATAGGAGACACTGTCGGACATGCGGGAAAGCATGCCGCTGGGGGTCCACCTGCCTTTCGTGGGCTACTCCTACTCCTGCATGGCCCTCAGGTAAGTACTGCCCCTGTGCAGCCTGAGAGGTGTGGTGGGCTGGGGGCGCCCGCCTCCAGAGGCCCCAGGAGGCCACTCGGGGTTATTATATACTGGCCCATTGGCGTCCAGGAGAATTGCAGGATCAGTCTTGGAACCTTATTGCCCTGAGACTAAGGACTTTTAGGAGCCCACAGCTGTAGGACCTTAAATTCTCAGACCATAAGTATTTTGAAATTTTAGATTCAGTTGTAAAACCTCAGAGTCACAGGCTTAGCCTTCCAGAACTTTCCAACTTTCCACTTTGAGATTTCTAGTATATAGTCATTGTATCTCAGAATCTTAGAAAATAAGTTTAGACCTTTTAAGTCAATCTTAAAAGAACACAAACTCATTGAATTACTCACATAACCACAAAGCCTTTTTGAAACATTAATTATACAAATAATACATTGCTTATCACAAATCTGTTAGAAAATATGGATGAGAAAAAGGAAGCCCACCATCAGCAACAGCCCCTGGCTCCCGCACGCACACTCACTCACCAGATGGGGGAACATGCTCTGTTCTCATCCATTTTGTTACTGGACGGTGTACTGCCAATGCCATTTCTTACCATGAATGAACTACAACACAGTCCTGACCTGCTGGGAAGTGTCCTGTCTGGGTGGGTCAGGACTCAGTGAACCCTCCTCTGTCATGACTCAGGCTGGAAGAACAGCTGCAGGTTGGTCTTGGCGTGTGTCCATGATCACTGGGTCCTTGAGATGTATTTCTACAAGAGGGACTGCTGGATTGGACAGGACATCACTTCCACTGCAATTTCATTTTCCTCAGGAGGGTCTGGGTCTGAGGGGGTGGTCCGCTGTCTGGAGTACAGTCTTGGGATCCCACATCCAGTCTTAAGACCACCTCTTTGGAGGTGGCCAGAGCTGGGCAGGGTTCCCCTTGCTTCCTGGGGCCCTAAGGTCTACAAAAGCCACATGGAGACAGAGGAGATGAACAGATCCTAGAATATGGGTGTCTGGACCCCAGGGTCCCAAAGAAGGTGCAGGGAGGCCAGCTCCCAAGGGCCTGAGGCCATGTAAGGGCAGGTTTTTCCCTAACAAGAGGCAGACCTGTCCCACCAGCCTGGCAATTTGTTCCCTTCACTCTGTCCCTCCCCCTTCTCAAACGTGGGGGCTTCAAGTCTGCCCTGCCCCCCCAACCCCCGGCTCAGGAGTCCTGGCTCCCAACCCAGGGGCTCAGCAGCCTCTAGGGTGAGGCCAGCTCTTCCTCCCTTTGCCCTCTTCCTCTCCCCAGGGACGATGAGATCCCGGGCTTTATGCCCATGGAACTGGAGGCCGAGCCATTGCCTGAGCCACCTGTGCAAGAGCCCAGCCTGGAACCCACGGTGCCCCCACCAGAGGACACAGTAAGTCTTTAGAGGAGAGGGTCAGTGAGAAACGAATCTGAGAGGAAAGGGAAGGTCTTTGGAGATAGTGTGTGCTGTATTGTGCTAAGTCCTCTGGAGCTTACTTGACAGAGATGGAAAACAAACTAGAGGCAAGTAACTTCAGTCAGAAATGATCCCTACCATGAAATTAAAACAGGTCATTGAGTGTGTGTGGTGGGGGACTCTCTGGGGGGGGGAAGCCCTGGGGAAGGAGAAGGGCCACCCGTGGGAAGAAAAGCACCCATTGGTCAGCAGAGTTTCAAGGGTAAGAGCTCTGAGGTGGGAACCAGCTGGTTTGCTCTTAAATGTGAAAGAAGGGTAGTAAGGCCAAATTGTTCCAGGAGAAAGGAGGGTGAGGAGTGAGGGGAGGGGAGGCTGAAGAGGCCAGCAGGAAGACACTAAACACCAAGGTTTGGTGGGCCGTCTCCTGAGGGCACTGAAGGGCTGGAGAAATTCTGAGCAGGGGAGGGCATAGTCAAGTTGAGTTAGTGTTGTAAGATCAACTCTGGTTCCAGTGTGGAAAGTTGATCGGAGGGGAGCAGATGAAAGGCTAGAGATGAGGGCTGGGGCTGGGATTAGGGATGTAGGGGGCTTGGATCCCTGCAGAAGTTGTGGGGATTCCAGGAAGATCTAAGGGGTAGGCAAGTAGAGGTTAAGGGAGGATGCCCAAGTCTCTGGTGTTCCAGGAGCCAGGCTGCCCGAAGACTGGTTCCCATACCCAGGTTGAAGTGGCAGTTCCGGAGGCAGTTCTGGAGGCCGTTCCGGAGGCGGTGGTGGAGGCCTTTCCCGAGGCAGTGCCAGAGGAGGCCGTGGCAGAGGCAGAGGTGACACTGAGGGAGCTCCAGGAAGCCCTGGAGGAGGAGGTGCTTGCCCGGCAGAGCCTGAGCCAGGAGCTGGAGGCCATCCGCATGGCCAACCAGAACTTCGCCAGGTCGGGGTCAGGACGCGGGGACAGTCACTACCTTTAGCAGCCTCTCTCGCCAAAATGCCAAAGGGCTCACGTTCCTTTCCTCCCCGCAGTCAACTCCGCGAGGCCCAGATCCGGAACCGAGACCTGGAGGCTCAAGTTCGGCAGCTGCAAGACCGGATGGAATTGCTGCAGGTCCAGGGAGCCACAGGCGAGTCCCTCATCCATCCCTTTTCCTGAGGGTGCCCGGGGGAGGTGGGCCCGCGGCGTGTGTGGACACCTAGGGGAGGGCGAGGGGCCCAGGCTGGGGCACGCCGCGCGCCACCGCCCTCCTCCGTCCCTCCACGCGCCCTACGCCTTTCTCTTCTCCT